GCAGCAGCAGCAGCAGCAGCAGCAGCAGCATGGCGGCGCCGGGGGGCCTGTTCGTGTTCGTGGTGGTGGGGAAGGGCGACCGGCCCCTCTACGAAGCGGACCTGAGCGAGAGCGGCGCGCGCGAAGACTCGCCGCACTACGACCAGTTTCTGCTGCACCAAAGCCTGGACGCGGTGGAGGAGAGTTCGTGGCGAAGTTCGAATTTGCTGCTGAAGAGCTGCGACGCCTTCCGCGACTTTCTGGTCTCGGCCTTCTGCACTGCGGGGCGCGCGAAGCTGCTGCTGCTGCACCGCAACCGCGGCAGCAGCGAGGGCATCCGCGCCTTCTTCCAGCAGGTCCACGAGCTGCTCCTCAGGGTCTTCCTCAACCCGCTTTACGAGCACAACGGGCTCATCACCAGCTCCCACTTCGACAAGCACGTCCGCCTCGCCGCCAAGAAGCACCTTCACCACTGACGCGGCGCCTGCTGCTGCTGCTGCTGCTGCTGCTGCTGCGGCGGCGGCGGCGGCGGCGGCGGCGGCGGCGGCGCGGTGGAGCCGCGGAAAGCGGGAACGTTTCCGCATTTTGCTTTTAAAACTGCTTTCTGAGAAACCAAACAAAAGCGAAACGCAAGTCCAAACTCGAAACGAAACTTGAACTCCGAAACAGGCGGCGCTGCGCGCAGCGCCCGAGGTGCAGATACACCCGAAACGCCAGCCGCGCGGAGCTGCGTTCAGCTTTCGCGGCTCCGCGCAGATCTCTGCGCCACTTCTTTTTCTTTTCGTTTCCAAATGCAGTTCCAGTCTTGCAAACGCAAAATCCACTGAGATTCCAAAGCTTCCCGCGGGAATGAGCCCCGGATTCCCGCCTTCCCCGCGGCTCGGCCAGGCCGCCGGCCCCGCGCGCGCCGAAACGCAGTTTTGCACTTTTCGCAAATTCCAGTTTCCAGACACCAATTGCACTTCTCCCGTCCCGGAAATCTCTTTTTTTCACGGAATTCCAGGTTTGTTGCGCTCGGAAAGTGCCTTTTCGCGCAAAGACCCCGCGCTGCTGCAGCCATTTGCCTCCTCTGCCTGCAAGGCATCGGGGCGGGAAGAGTCTTCGTGAAGTGCCAAAGTCTAGTTTGCAAGAAGTGCCACTTGGCCGCGACTTGTCCGCTGAGCAGCTGCTGCTGCAGCGAGGTGCAAATTCGAAAGTCCACTTCCCGAAAGTTCCTTTTGAATGCAATTCAACTTGCTGCTTCCAGTCCCTCGACATGGCCAGTGCTGCAGTGCAGCAGCTGCCCTTTGTCCAGAAGCAAACGGCGCTCAAGAGATGGGCCCAAGGTCTGTTCCCGCCCCACGCTTCCTAATTCCTCCAAACTGCAGCAGCAGCAGCAGCAGCAGCAGCAAACAGGAGCCCTTCAGCCTGCAGTGCTGCTTCCGCCACGTCCCGTGCTCTTCGCCATGAAACTCCTTCAGGTAGAAAACGCTTTACAATTCATTTACGCTCTATGCCCTGATTGCTGCTGCTGCTGCTGCTGCTGCTGCTGCTGCTGCAGCCCGCGCTGCTGCTGCTCAGCCCGGCGCCGCGCTGCAGCAGCAGCAGCAATTCTCGACTTCAGGAGGTAAATGGAATATTTTTAAAATCTGTTTTGCAATGTTAAAATATTTTCTTTTTAAAAAAGTAATGCTGCAATCTCTCGGCCCGAAGCCTCAATTCAAGTTTGCTGCTGCCAAATTCGATGCGGCGCTGTGCGAGGTGAGGACTTTATTATTTATTTATTATTTATTTATTTATTTTAATTATTTATTTCTTTTTAACTATTTAATTCGAATTATTTCCATTTCTGCTGACGCAGCGAATGGCCGCCGCCTCAAGGAGAATTCCCTCAGTTCAAATTGGGAACTTGCCGCAGCAGCAGCAGCAGCAGCAGCGGCAGGAGCAGCAGCAGCAGCAGCTGCAGCAGCAGCAAAATGGGTATCGGCTCCCCCGGAAACGGCAGCGCTGCACGGAGAGCAACTGAGAGCCCAAGGGGAAGCAAAGGAGAAGAACAAAGAAAGGAATTTGAAATTAAAACTGAGACGCAGCAGCAGCAGCAGCAGCAACTGCTGCTGCTGCTGCTGCTGCTGCTGCCTGCCGAGCATATTGGCTCGCAGCGCACGCTTTGCTGCGGAAGCTGCTGCAGCATGAAAAGGTGAAAACGAAAGAAAGGAAAAAAAGTTCACATCAAAAGTCTTTTCTCTTCCCAGTCTCCGTGGGCTTTGCCCTCGCAGGCTCTCGCGAGAAACCTGCTGCTGCAGCAGCAGCAGCAGCAGCAGCAGCTGAATCTGCATTTTCGTGGATCCCTTGAGGTGGAGGCACCTCGACTTGAACACAAGATCTACATACGCAGAGGAACCTGTCCTCTCCCCTGCAAGTTCTCCTGCTGCAGCGCCTGCTGCAGCTGCAGCAGCAGCAGCAGCAGCTGCTGCTGCTGCTGCAGCAGCAGCAGCAGCTCAAGCCAAGCCAGCAGGGCTGCTCGCCAGCAGCAACTGCGACCTCTGGTTCCGCTCCTGCAAGGCGCTCGCATACGCCGCCTCCAGCTTCCGACGCGTCAGCACAGTAATGTAGGCCATTGACGCCTGCAGCAGCAGCAGCAGCAGCAGCAGCAGCAACAGCAGCAGCAGCAGCAGCACTGAACATGGGCGACGGGGGAGAGCCAAACCCCACTGCTTGCGGCCTTTTGTGCTGCACTGCCGCTCCTGAACCCGAACTATCATTTAAATGGCATTTAAATGAAACTGAATTAAAATAAAATAAAATAAATTAAATTAAAATAAATTAAAGTGCTGCTGAAGAGATAAAATAAAAACCTACAGCTGCCATCAGCACTCCGATGGCAATCAGGCTCAACCGCTGCCACGTCCAGGAGAAAGTGCCTGCGAGACAACAGCAGCAGTCCCTAAACCCTAAACCCTAAACCCTAAACCCTAAACCCTAAACCCTAAACCCTAGCTTTGCCTTTCCAAGTTCCTGACTCACGAACATCCAGGTCCTTCAGATCGCTCAAAGCGGAGCCGATGAAGTTGAACGCGAGAATAACTGCAACACAGCAGCAGCAGCAGCAGCAGCAGCAGCAAACTGAGACACGCTGACTCTTACGTACAGCAGCAGCAGCAGCAGCAGCAGCAGCGGGGCCGCGGCTCACGAGGAGTCCCCGAAAAAGTGCCGAGCAGCAAATGGGAAGTCTTAAGCGCCGTGACTCCAAACAAATAACTGGTGAGCTGCAGCAGAGCCAGAAGCGCATGCAGTTGTTACAACTTCATTTAAAAATAAAAAACTAATTAAATATATTTCGGAAGCAAATCAAACAGTTGCTGGTCTCCTGTGGTGTCTGTACACCGGAGCGAGGAACCCTGCAAAGCCGAAAGAAAGCTTTCCCCGCAGGGCTGCGTGGGAGGCGGCGCAAACGCTGGGAAGCGCAAACCCTGAATTAGGGTTTAGGGTTTGGGGTCTCACGGAGTACGGCAAAATGGGAGAAAGCCGGATGAGGGCCACGAAAGTTATCCCCCCCTCCTCCACTGCAGAGTCGAAAGCTCTGAACAAAGTGCTGCTGCTCATCCAGGAGTGCAGCAAATCGAAAAGCAGGTGGCGGCTGATCATGAAGCAGCACAAGCCGGAGAGCAGCGCGCCGCAGAGGGAGCAGAAGAAAGCAACCACAATGCCCACTGCAGCAAAGAACAAAACAAAAATAGAAAAAATTAAAGTCGTGGCGCAAGAAGAACTCAATTTGCTGCCTTGCGGGCCAAACGGCGCCGGGATCGGAAGCGCGGTGTTTCGGGTGTACGTACACCCCAGTGCTTCAGGTGTACGTACACCCCAAACGCCTCGGCGCAGCTGCAGCCGCCATTTCTGCATTTCACTTTTTCAGCTTTCGCCGACTTTTAGGACTTTTTGGCTTCGCATTTGCTTCAATGTTTCGGTTTTTTGAATTAAATTGTCTTTTAATTGCTTTTTGTTGGCTTTTCTGTCTCATATTTCCCTTTTTCCTCCAGCTTTCCACCCCCACTTACAGGTTTCGCCGTATATTCGCGAGAAGATGAAGCCCGCGGCCAAGTGCTGCGCAGCAAACCGCGCGCAAACGCCAAACCCTAAACCCTAGTCCGCAAACCCTAAACCCTAATCCGCAAACCCTAAACCCTCGAAGAAACAAACGATCTGCTGACCTCACCATGAACTCTGCTGGCATGAAAAAAGCAATGAAGACCACGTACAGCGCAATGTACGCAAAAGGCGCAAAATAACCAAACCCTTGAACCTGCAGCAATGCACCTCAAACCCTAAACCCTAAACCCTAAACCCTAACTTAACCCTAAACCCTTATCGCTAGAGCCCAGTGCTGAGTTCAAACGGCTAACTCCACAAGCATTTGCATCAATCAGTCTCTCGCATCCACCCCTTAGCAACAACGGCCGCTGCAGCAACATCCCCAGCAGCAGCAGCAGCAGCATTCCCAGCAGCAGCAGCAGCAACGGCACTCGCAGCAATAGTACTCTAAGCAGTAGCAGCAGCAGCCGCGCTTCTAGCTGCTGCAGCCCAAGCAGCAGCAGCAGCACACCACGCGTCACGAGCAGCAGCACCCTCAGCAGCAGCAGCAGCAGCACTGCAGCAGCAGCAGCAGACTCACTCCCGCTATGAGATCCTTAACTATGGTGGCTGTTGTGTCGATGTGGCTCAGCGCCAGCAGCAGCACGAGGGCAACAGCAGCAAAGAAGCAAATCTTGACAACCATAAGAGCCCGTAAGAAGAATGCTTCGCCCCTGCTGACGCTGCGCTGCAGCTGCAGCTGCTGCTGCTGCTGCTCCTGCTGCTGCTGCTGCTGCTGCGCATCTTCGCCCTCCGGGGCCACCAGCAAGCCCTCGCTGCGCGCTGCAGCGCAGCTGCTGCTGCTGTCCATCAGCCGCTCCTCTAGCTCCCTGGCATCTCCCTTCATTGTCGAAGCAGCAGCTGCTGCTGCATCAGCTGCAGCGGCTGCAGCAACTGCAGCAGCAACGACCTCCGGCAACTGCCCTCAGCAGCTGCAGCAGCAGCAGCAGCAGCTGCAGCTGCGCCCGCAGCTGCTTAGACAGACACACCGCACTGCTGCAGCCAGTTAGCAGCAACAGTGCCCTTTAGGTGCTTCGGAAACAGCCACGCAGTTGTGCAGCAGAAGCAGCAGCAGCAGCTGCTGCTGCCCTCCCGAGTGTTGCAGCCTGCCACCGAGGCTGCTGCTGCTGCTGCAGCTGCTGCAGCTACGGGTCAACCAAAGGAAAAAAAAGTAACACTGGAAGCACCACAAAGAAGAGATGTGCTGCTGGCTTGCTGCTGCTAAAAGGAAGCGGAGAGCTGCTGAGACGCTAGAGAGGAGCAGCAGCAGCAGATGAACAGCAGCAGCAGCAGCAGCAGCAGCAGCAAACCTCTCGAAAGCAGAAGCTGCTTCTCTAAATGTGAGGGAAAGACGCAAATATGGTGAAAGTTAATACTAAAAGAAAGGAAAGATTGACCTATGGCCGACGGGGCCCCCTAGCCCGAGCCTTCGGCAGCGGGTGAGCTGTTGCTGCTGCTGCTGCTGCCAGCAGCAGCAGCAGCAGCAACCGTGCGGGCGGCGGCTTACTTCACTTGGACATCCCCGAATGTGTATATGCTGTTGTGCAGTGAAGGTTGAAGTACTTGTTAAAGTAGAGCAGCAGAGGGTTTGCGCGGCAGCAACAGCAGCAGCAAGCAGCAGCAGCAGCAGCAGCAGCACACCATTGTTCTATGTCTCGTGGACAGCAGCAGCTAAGCGCCCGCTTCTGGCTTGTTGACCAGACTCTTTGCCTCGCTAACTTCAAAAACAGCAGCGGAGGGCAGCAACAGCAGCGGCAGCAGCAGCAGCCGTTGCCGCCCTCCCTCAACACAGCTCCCAGCCTGCTGCAGCGAGGCCTCAGCTGGAGCTGCTGCAGCCAGCAGCAGCAGCAGCAGCAAGCTGAACACATTATGTCCGGCAGCAGCACACACGTTTGCTCGCATGCGGGAAGGGGCAGGGGAGCAGCATCCCCAGCACAAACAGGCACAGCAGCAGCCCCAGCAGCAGCAGCCGCAGCAGCAGCAGGAGCAGCAGCAGCAGCTGCAGCAGCAGCTGAGGCAGCTAGCAGCGGCAATGAAGTCTCCGGACACTTACTCGCGTGCAGCAGCTCAAAACACGTCTGAGGAATACTGGAAATTCCAGATAGCAGCAGCAGAAGCAGCAGCAGAAGCAGCAGCAGAGGCAGCAGCAGAAGCAGCAGCAGAAGCAGCAGCAGAAGCGGCAGCAGAAGCAGCAGCAGAAGCATCAGCAGAAGCAGCAGCAGAGGCAGCAGCCGAAGCAGCAGCAGCAGCAGGTGCAGCGGCAACGGGAGCAGCAGCAAAAGCAGTAACAGATACTGAAGCAGCAGCAGCAGCAAGTGAGTGCAGGACAGCAGACTCAGAAGCTTCGCCTGCAGCATCAGCAGCAGCGGCAGAGGCATGCAGAGTGGGTTTGCAGCAGCAACAACAGCAACAGCAGCAGCAACAGCAGCAGCAGCAGAAGCAGCAACAGAAGCAGCAGCAGCAGCAGCAGCATCATGACCAGGATGCGCACGGCGCGCACCTTTCACATTCCCTGAGTACCCCTTCTGCAGCCAGCGATGGGAACATGGCAGCAGAAGCAGCAGCAGCAGCAGCAGCAGCAACAGAACTTGCTGCGCTGCAGCGACAGCAAAGCGGATCTGCTGTTTCGGTTTGGCTGTATGAACGGCTGGCCCTTTTGGAGCAGCAAATTAGAAACCAACAAGAGATGCATCAGAAGGAAATGGCAAACTTGAGAACCAGGTAACTGCTGCTGCTGCTGCTGCTGCTGCTGCTGCTGCTGTTGCTGACGTTCATTCCATGCTGCTGCTGCTTCTGACGCTGCATATCAGGCTGCTGCTGCTTCTGACGGTGTCTTTTGTGCTGCTGCCGCTTCTGACGCTGCAGTTAACGCTGCTGCTGCTGCTGCTGCTGCTGCTGGCGTTGCGTTTGATGTTGCTGCTGCCGCTTTTGCTTCTGCCGTGCTGCTGTTTGTTTTGGTGCTGCTGCTAGTGCTGCTGCGTTGTTGCTTGCTCTGCTGCTGCTGCTGTTGCTGCTGCCCTTATCCCCTTTATGCTAGCAATCCTGGTGCCAATCCTGCTGTGCTGCTGCTTGTGCTGCTGCTACTGCTGTGCTGCTGCCTTTGCTGCTGCTGCTGCTGCTGCTGCTGTTCCGCAGCTTTCTACTTGTTTTCTGACTTGCTGCTGTGGCTTTTGCTGCTGCGGCGGCCGTCGGCGCCGCTGCAACTGCTGCTGCTGCTGCTCCCAGGGCACTTTGCGTTTGGCTGTTGCTGTTGCAGCAGCTTCTGCTGCTGCAGCAGGCGCTGCTGCAGTTGCTGCTGCTGCAGTCCTCCGTTTACATCTATCTGCTTTTCCGCAGCCACGAGGTCTCTCTGTCTTTGGCTTTGAGGGGCGCCAGCAGCAAACAAATAGCAGCACACATTGCAGCAGCGCAGCAGCTGCTGTGCAGCAACTGCGGCTGCTTGCTGCAGCAGCAACAGCAGCAGCAACAGCAGCTGCAGCAACAGCAGCTGCAGCAGCAACAGCTGCAGCAGCAACAGCTGCAGCAGCAACAGCTGCAGCAGCAGTTGCAGCAGCAACGGGATAGCGGTAGTAGAGGGGAGAGTGCCCCCAGCGACAAAAGCAACAGCAGCAAGAGCGAAGTGGCAGCAGCAGCAGCAGCAGCAGCAAAGCAGACGGAGCAAGGAGGTGCAGCGACACTAGCGGCACCTCTTGCTGCTGCAGCAGCAGCACCAGCAGAACTGCCAGCAGCCACAGCTGCACCAACTTCCGTACACGAAGTCACACTGAGGAAACAAGAACACGGCAGCAGCAACAGCAGCAGCAGCTGCTGCTGCTGCAGCCATAGCAGCAGTGCCTCGTTCAGAGAGGGCAGCAGCGGCAGCAGCAGCAGCAGGAGTCGGGCAGCATCTGCTGCTGCAGCAGCAGATAATGGGAAGTGCCTACCTGCAGCAGCGTCGTCCCCACACGCTGCTGCTGCTGCTGCTGCTGCTGCTGCAGAAACAGGCGAGCAGCGGGAGCCCTCTGCCGCCCACCATGATGACCCGCGGCAGCAGCAGCAGCAGCAGTTGCAGCAGCATCAGCTCCAGCAGCACGAGCAACAGCAGCAGCAGCTGCTGCTGCTGCAGCAGATGCAGCAGCAGCAGCAGCAGGAGTGCGCGTTAGACAAGAGAGAGGAACTCGTGATGCATGCAGATTGCTGCTGCTTGCTGCAGCACTTGGCTTCAGTCACCTGCCGCCACTGTGGGGTTGCTGTTAGAGTGAGCCTTTTGCTGCTGCTGCTTATTTTGTTTTAAAAAAATATTTATTATTTATTTTATTTATTTACTTATTTTATTATTTATTATTTATTTTATTATTTATATATTTATTTCGTGCCCCTTTGTTTGCTTTTTGGTTCTGTCTTCTTTTGTTTCTGTGGCCTCGGCTTCGTCAGCTGCTGCTGCATTTATTTGGTGCTGCTGCTACTGCTGCTGCTGCTGTGGATTTTCGCTGTTTGTCGGACTACGTGGGTCGTCAAATAAATAAATAAAATAAATAAAATAAAATAATTATAAAATGAGAAATGGCATTTAAAATAAATGAAAAGAATTAAAAATTGATTATTTGCTGCTGCTCTCTGTGCAGCCCCTCGCGCTGGGAACTCACCTGCGGCGCTGCTTGCTGCAGCAGCAGCAGCAGCAGTTAAACCCTTTGGCTCTCGCGTTTGCTGCTGAAAGGAGACTTAAAGAAAAAAGAAAAACAGACAAAAGAGCAGCAGCTTCTTCTCTCAGCAAACAAGCCTTCTGCTCCGGGCTGGCTTTCCACTGCCCGCAGCAGTCCTTCCGCTGATGCTGCTGCTGCTGCTGCTGCTGCTGCTGGGCAAGGTGCAGCAGCAGCAGCGGCAGAAGCAGGGACGGCCGCAGCAGCACGCCGTCTTCACCCACGAACTGCTTAGTGCTGCAGCTGCTGCTGCGAGGGATTACCTAACAGTAGCGGCGGCAGCAGCAGCAGCAGCAGCAACTAGCTGGCGGATGTGGCGGGGGAAGGCAGGGCTGCAGCAACGGACGCAGCAACGCGAGCAGCAGCAGCAGCAGCAGCTGCTGCTGCTGCTGCAGCTCGAGGTTTTGCCTTTTTTTGATTTAAATACGAAGCAGCGTTCTGCAGTTTAGTTTGAACTGCTTTTTGAAGGTTTGAGCGCATCGCA